TTATTATATAGTAATTTACGTTTTGAAGTAATTCTTGAAGCTCCTACGGCGGCTGCTCAACGTATCGATGAGACTCCAATGACCTATCTCAATAAAGGTAAAAATCAATCTTTGATCTTACTTTGATCTTACTTTGATCTTACACGTCACATTATCGATTTGTTTAATTTATTATAATATCAAAAAAAAAATTATATAATCTAGGACAATATTATGGTATATGTTTGCAAGATCAAGACAAATATGATGGGGAATTTACCAGTATTGTTAAGGTTATGTTTCACGATGATGCTCATCGCAAAATGGCTTCGACTTATTGGAGTTTTTGGTTGACACAACAAGCGTCTCCAAAAACTGCCAGGGCTATTGATATTGGTATTCATTTTATCATTTTCATCATTTTCATCATTTATATTTTTTTGGCTAGTTACCAATAATTTGAATTTTCTGTATTCATAGACAAAGCCGCTTCAACTGGAATTAATAACGTAGAAACCAAAACTTTTGATAGAGTGCAGTTTCGATGGAATGGCAAAAAGGGTGCAAAAATATTTGTGCGCTTTAACTGCCTTTCTACTGATTTTTCACGGATAAAGGGTGTGAAAGGTATTCCTCTAAGAATACATATAGAAACTAAAACTGAAAATGGTGCGACTAGCAACTCTATTGAGAAGGCCTTTGCGAAAGTTAAACTTTTTAGAGATAAGGTATTTGACACGTGTAATCTTTTGTAACATACTGTATAATTTGTTTCACTAAATTATATTATTTCCATTTAAGGGTGCTGAACGCAAAAATAAAGACGACCAAAAGCATCTTGAAAAGATGGTTGAAAAAATGAGAGGTATTTGTTTATTTTTATTAAATCTTATCATTTATTATCATTCTTTGCATCACCTCCCGCATCACTATTTTCATCATTTTCATCATTATTCGTTTGACATTAAAAAAATTATTATATATGCGACACTACGAATCTTTAGGTAAATCATCACAAGAACCTACATCACCCATGATCATGATGTACGCACCTCCAAATGCTATGACCGTATTTACAGAAATTACTGGAAATAATGATACTTCTGACGATGAAGAGGTCCAAAGCCTGTCCGAAACGTTGAATAACCTTGATCCAGACGTAGAAGGTGGTGAACTCATGACTCTTCAGTTAGGTAAACGTAGGAGATTTTCCATGGGTCCTGATTTCTTAGAACCTTTGGATTGTGATCCAACGTACATTCCACATTTACGAAAACGTCGCGCTGGTAAGCTTGATCTACCTTTAAAATTTTTCTATTTTTTTAATAATTTTTATAATTTTATAATTTATAATTATAATGGTTCATTTTATAGTTCTCTGCATTTATGTTAAATTACCCGGTGAATCCGCATATCGCGCTGTTTATCTCAACCACCTTACGGTTCAAGATCTTATATCAAAACTTTCCGATAAGCTCTCTGAAAAAGTTGATCTTCAAGGTCAAACTATTACGAATGTAATTAGGTGCACTAAGCGTAATCTAACTGTTCGTCTTGATGATGAATCAATTCATCAAATTGATGACGAACAAGACATGGAAGTAGAAGTCCAAGGTGGTCCAGATGGAACTCTACATTTAACGTTGAAGTATTAAGATTAAGCTTTTATTTTTTTTTCTCTGTGAAATGGGTGGGTCTATAAAAATTATTAGATTGATTTAGGAATATTATTGAAAAAAAAAAAGATGGCCTTGCTAATAATTTTTGATATTTTTGATATTTTTTGTGGTATTGATGAATTTAATATTCCTGTGAATTGTACCTTCATTAGGGATTTCGCTTAAAAAAAAAAACAAAAAAAAATGAAAAAAAAGGAAAAATAAGAAAAAAAACAAAAAATGAAAAAAAAGGAAAAAAAAAGAGAAAAAAAAATATTTGGCTTTTTATATTTAATCCCTCCTGCGAATTATTTATAAATACTTTAAAAAATTGGGAGGGTAGGGGATAAAGTTAATTTTTTATTCCCATGTACAAAATATTCTCACATGTTTTATATATTTTCATCTTTCCTTGCATCATATAACATTTTCATTACCCATTATCCAATTTCTTCTCGACTCTGTAACATTTCCTTTTTTCCTAAAAAAAATTTTTTTTATCTTTTTTCTTTATTTTTGGGTGGGTTATTGCAAATTTGGATTATTAAAAAAAAAAAAAAAAAAAAAAAAATCAAAAAAGTAAATTTGGGTTTAGTTAAAATAGTGTATAGTTCAAGCAACCCAGTTACCAAAAAAGTATGTATATATTTTATGTATATATCCAAGAGATATATAACAAATGCGTTTTACGTAGTTTATTGGTGGCAGTTTTATTGTGACTAATTTTTTTTTTTATAGGATAGTAAAATTGTATATAGTTTCATTTTATAATAACAATTTAGCACAAAAAGTTTAAGTATTATGGAAAATCCAGTATATTTGACCATAAAAAAACTTGGTATATTTTTTTTACCAATTATCGAAAAAAAAAAAATGCATTTAAGTTTTGAAAAAAACGAAAATAATAGCCACTTAATATTAATAAACCATCGAATATACGTGAAATGGTAGTTTATTCGGTTGTACTTTCTTGATTAACTGTACTACACATACTCATGTCCATATCCCTACCAACGGGTCCAGATGTCGTGTTTTCGAATAATTTCATCGTGAGACTACATAAAAAACATGGTATAGAACCACGTTCAACTACCCAAAATTTTATAAGATGATCTAAACTCTTAATAAATTCGGAATTTCCTCCAACCAATTGCATAGTACCACAATCATTCTCATCTGACGTAAAAATGAACGATTGATCATCCTGTTCAGAATACATGGATGTTAAACGAACTCGGCCATTTTCAAGAAAATCAAACCTATAACCAAGAAGGCTATACACTGCTTCTCTATATTCTTGAGCCTTAGTTTTCCAAACCTAATAAACAATAGATAAATTTAGAATGCAATAAGACATATTCCGTCGTAGATTATAAAATAAACAACGATACTAACCTCTTTTAGCCTTAATATTCTTTTTTCTTTCTCTGCGATTTGTTCTACGAGTTGCTTATTCTCGTTTTCAAGATTCGTAAAACTTTGGGTCGGTATTACATTGATGATAGAACTATCATTATCATCTATCGTTTCTTCTTGTGTGGTGTGATTGTTTTCGAGCATTTTTTGTAATTCTTTCAATTTTGTTAAAAGTTGATTATTCTCAGTTTTTAATGCATCTAAAGTGCTTTGACGAATAGCATAATCTCTCGATGAAGGATTATCTTTCAATTCCAAAACCTTTATAAAGTTTAAGGTACTAAATTATTCCATACTTTTATTTCAAATAACAATTCATCAAAAAATACCGGTAAATTTCTAAATTCATACTCGCGTTGTTTCTTGGTTATATTCGCCTCTACCCACTGCTTTCTCTAAAGCAAAAACCTGTTGATCGAGAGAAGATGCATGTTTTCGCAATGATAAATTCTCATTTTTAAGGTCATTTATAGCTATGAACCAGTGTAATAATTAATGAATGATTTCAAATAAAAGCATAAAAGCAACAATTGCCGAAAAAAAAGACTTACTTTCTTGTAGAATTTCATTTTGTTTGATCAACTCTGACGAATGTATTTTCAGATCCTTTTGCTCAAGAACAGTAATTTGCATTTGTAGAGAAGTAACCTCTTTTTTTAGATTAACATTTTCATTTTTCAGGTCATAAATGGCTGTGGTAATAAAATCCCGATAAATAAGAGAATAAACATATTTTGATTTATACAAAATTAAACCTTACTTGCTTGTAATTCTTCATTACGACGTAAAACTTCAACTGTATGAGGGTTTATTTCAGAAGGACCAGATTGATCTTCTGGCTGTTGGTTATTATGTGATTGGGCTGATATTTGTTCAAGTTCTTCCTTGTACGTTGTGAGTAAGGTTTCCAATACTTGAATACGTTCAATTTTTTGCTCATCATAATTTGTTTGTAGGTGTTGCTCTTCTTTATCATATGATTTCTAATTCAATAAGAGGATTTATTATTATTATTAATTATAATATTATACTTAGATGTTACTATGTAAAATCTTTCTTGTAATCACAAACCAAAGCTTCAGTCAGCATTTCCACTTCTTTCTGTAGCAAATTTTTTGTCCTTTTAGATAACTCGAGCTCGTTTGTAAGTTTATACTCCATAGATCTATATGTGCTGTTTAACTGTATGATCTAATTTACGAATAATAGTTTATTAGTAACCCCCAAAAAAATAAATAAGTATGAAGTAATTACTGCAGAGATAAGAAGTATTCACTTTGTATTCATTTTCGGAAATTATCATATCCCGACTTTTTATTTGTTCTTCTAAACGGCCCACCTTTTCTTCAAGCATAGTGATTTCAATTCGTCTCGACGCAAGCTCTTTACAAAGTTTGTAAGGTGAATTAATATTGATTTTGTCCTTTTCCTGATCCAAGTAGCTTGCCCTATGTTATTGTTTAGAAAAAGTCAATATATTGTTCAACTTTGAAATAAATAAATTTATTATAAATACCATTCGATTTTTTCCTTTTTCAACGTCGTATTTTCGGCTTCCAATTCGGCAGCTTGGCGACGAAGCTTCCTCATGATAGAAAGCTGATATTCAGATGACTCAACCTTTTGTTGAAGAATCTGAATACTTGGAGATAATTCCTTCAAACGTTCCAATTCATTTTTCAAGTCATTGTTACTTTTTTCTAAATTCTGGATATATATTGATTGTTCTAAAATATATTGAATTATGGCAATGAGCAAATGTTCTATAAGATCTTGATATGAGTACGCAGAATGAAAACCTGGAAGTGAATATTTAAATTTTCACTGTAGCGAGTTTATCCTCAAAAGAAATATGTCATAGTGACCACTGTATATGTTAATGTATTGTACGCACTCAATATTTAAGTTTTCAATATAGCGAACCTAGCCCTTGAAGAATTGTGATATTACGTATTGGTATTAACGTTTTAGCAATTTTAGCAATGCGTAAGCGAGAGCAAATTCAAATATTCTTTATGTTAAATTTCAAAACCGTAAACTAAATGTATATTAAACACTTGTGCTATAGTATCTTTGACTAATATTATTCATATGTAATTATAATTTCAATATATATATATATATATTATAGGTATATTCTAATACCCAATATTTATAATAATATTTTATGGGTTTGGATTATTTTACAAGAAAATATAATTATCTACAAACAAAAGAAAATACAGTGCCTTTTATCTATACAAAATTTTAAGGCGAAAATGCGCACCCTAACATTAACACTAATAATTGTAACGTTAAGGTCTTACCCTTTATCTTAATCAAAAAGTAATATAGAATTAAGGACACGGTTCGAAAAATTTTCTATTTTTAGAAATGTTTTTTTTTTAGTTACCAATTAAGTGTTTGTGGCAATTTGTTGACTATCAAAATTAGATTCGTGACTAATAAATCTCAAGAAATTGTTGCACTTTATATTTTTTTCAAGCTGTAAATTCACAGCCACTCCGGGTCTGGAAAAAGTAATTATAAAGGATGAACATTAGACGTTATAATGTTTAAATTAATACATAATTGTATAGTTCTTTATAACGTTTAAATATATATTATTTGGGTGCTAATGTCTTTATTTTATTTTTAAAGAAAAAAAAACGGCAAGCTGTTTAAAAAAAACTGATATGTTCATAAATTTTACATACGTACGTATTACAAAAGAAATAAATCTTAAAAGAGCAATGCAATTGCCTTAAAAAAAACGCTGCGTAATTTCGGAAAATTTCAATTTTCCGATCTGTCGACACACTCGATATCATTTAATGTGGCTGTTACATTATCCTGAAATATCACAATTTTCCTTCCGTCATGCGACATTTTTCCACATCATGCGACATTTTTCCATTTTTTCCGATGTTCCAAGGTAGAATCACCAATAGTTCCATGCCAAGCATAAGAACCATATCCATTTTCTCCTATTCTGTTCTTGTTGCCCAAAAAAAAAAAAAAAAACAAAGTAACAATTAATATTTTGTAGCTTAGTAATTCCAATTAAATTGTTCCGAAATTATTCCTACACAAAAAAAAAATTAATAAATAGATTCAAATTTTTCTTTTTCTCATCACTCTTGCGAGTCTACGATCAAAAAATAAAAAAAAATTATACCGAAATTGTTCCTACAAAAAAATTAATAAATAGCCTCAAATTTTTCTTTTTTCTCATCACTCTTTGGAGTCTATGATCAAAATTAAAAAAATTATTCCTACAAAAAAAAAATTATAAATAACTTCGAAATTTTCTTTTTTCTCATCACTCTTTGGAGTCTATGATCAAAAATTAAAATAATAATAATAACATTGTAAACATTCAAAAAAAAAAATAATAATCATCATAATCGTAAACATTCAAATATCATTATTATAATGTCAGAAATTAAACGACATTCTCGATTTATCGCGAACTCCGGAATTTTTCGACCAATTCATGACGCTAATCAGTTAGCCAGATCATATAATTGCGGCCGTGAACTCTCAGGATTTCAAGCCATGCTCTTGGTTGTTATACCGGAATGTCATAGGCACCACATACGGAATAAAAGAACAATTAAGCATATTGCGACGTGTATATGGAACGAACATGCAACATCGAACGATAAGGAGTACTTTATTGGCCTAGCCGATCAAATTAATCTAATCAAAATGCCTAATATGCAACATACAGCCCTTTCCAGGGCAATATTTTATGGTACGACTTTTTAAATACCATATATACTTAAAATATAGAAATAATTTGAACAAAAAATTTGGCAAAATAATAGATTATGCTTATATATATATTTTTTAAATATAGACCAAGTTTATATGTAAATATTTAAAGTTAGACTATGATATTTGTATGTAAATTTTTATATAGATGTATAAAATTTGGCAAATTCTAAATGTAACGATAACAGATTAAAAAAAAAAAAGCAAAAATGATAATCTTTTTAATTGTGTGCTTGTGATATAAAATTGTTCCGGCGATTGTCCCGAATTTTCCTTTTTGGCTATATTTTTACGCCTAATGAGTTTTTTTTTAACCGCCCACGATTATTCGGACCCCGTTCTTGAAACTAGTCTTCTAAACTAAAAAAATTTTATTTAAAAAGAAGTTAATTAAATGGTTAGACTTTTAAATCACGGGGGCAACAGAAGGAATCATCAAATATTGCACAACTAATTCCTCACCCGGTGTTCGGTTCATAAAAAAATTATTTTACAATATTGTATCAATGTTATATATATAATCCTTCACCTGTTGGATTAGTTGTGCAACATTAACGGCTCCTTTGTTCAGTGGGACTGATTTAACTGTTACGTCCTTATGAAATATTAGCCCAAATTAATTATATAGACACTATTATTACCTAACAACCGTGGGCGTTATTTTGAAAATCAAGACCTTCAAAACTAGCATATCGATATGCAGTTTCGAATCATGTGCGTCCCGAATTAACGCGCATCCTTCTATAAAAAAAAAAAATAAAATAAAATAAAGTAAAAAATAAAAAGTACACCAGAACTGAATTTGGTACTAAGTAACCTGCTTTTGCGCTCTAACAAAAGTTGTTCTTCAGACTAAGACAATTATAATGGTGGTAAAAGCAGGTTTACTTGGTACCAAATTCGAAATAACGTACATGGGCATACTCGAAATAACACGCAGGTCAATTAATTAACGTGCAGGTGGGCGTTATTTCGAGTTTATACGGTACTGTTTTTAAAAATATTGTTGCGGGGTGAGTTTAACTTATAATAATATTATGGACGAATATGGGAAAATAGGGATTAAGGTAACTCGCCAGAGGCGTGACGTTGGTAATTTCGTTAATTATCTGGAATATCTTTAAAGATGGGTTTTATTATCGGGTTAGTAATCCTATTTATCCTACCTCGCACATAGGTGTTGTAACCTACCTTATCCAAGTTACGTCCTTTTTTAAAACTTTCAGAAGGTAATAGCGATAGTGAGGTTTAAGTATCTGCAGTTTTACTAAGCTCTTTTCACCTTTGTTATGACCTTCGGCTGAACAATCCACATTCGTCATCCAAGCCTCCAAGGGTTAATGAGGCGCGATTTGTCACTTGAATGTACTGTACATAGCACAAAATCACTTCTGGCCCATAGCAATATATAGTTAACATTAACATTAAAAAAAATATATATATTCTAGAATTCCATAATTTAACACAAAATATAAAATTCTAGAATTTAACGCAAATATGTGGAATTCTATAGTTAACACAAAATATAAATTCTATAATTTAATAATTTAACGCAATTCTATAGTTTAGCACAAAAAAATGAATTCTAGAATTTAGCATAAATATAATTTTACACGAAATACAAATTCTAGAATTTAACGTAGATATGTGGATTTCTAAAACTTATCACAAAATAAAAATTCTAGAACTTAATGTAAATATGTGAAATTCTATAGTTTAACACAAATATTAATTCTAGAATTTAACGCAAATATAATTTAATACGAAATACAAATTCTAGAATTTAATGCAGATACTGTATGTAATTTAACACAAAATATAAATTCTAGAATTTAACACAAATATAAATTCTAGAATTTAACGCAAATATAAATTCTAGAATTTAACACAAATATAAATTCTATATATTGAATTTAATGCAAATATAATTTAACACAATATATAAATTCTAGAATTTAACTCAGACATTCTAGAAATTAACGCAAATATCTAGAATTCTTGGCATTTATTGTTACAATATGCAGATATATAAAGCTATGTGTTTCTAAATGTGAATTTAATGAAAAATACGTATCAATTTGAAAAATGTGCAATTACGTATATTGTGTAATTGATACGTATTCTTTATTCATGAATCACATATGATATAAGATATGGTGTACATACGTACATACGTACGTACGTACATGCAAAACAATTTGGCGGTACCGTGATCTCCGAAGCTGACTGATGCTCTAAATCAAGCCAAGGGGTTCAGCAAATATTTAAACAATTACGGCGGAATACGTACAGTTATTTTGATAATTTCCGCACTTTTAATTTTAATAATATTGAATTTTCATGATTTTAATAATTCGAGATGATATTTTCTGATTCCGATTTGGCTTGGAGATCACGGTACTACTGCCAAATTTTGCGCCATCAATATTTCACTCACTACTTTACTAAATACCTACTAGGGATCCAAACTCTGATCCGGATAACTGCGTACCCGATAACCCAGCCCGGAAAAATTAGGATAGATTAGTAGAGCAACCAAAATTCGGATCGACCAAAATTTAGGGTCGGAATAAGCTCGGAGCTAGACCGGCATTAAGCGATAATACAAACCCACTATACTAAAGCAAAATTATCATCTGGGAAGCCTTACTTAGTATGTGGGCTACCGTAAAATTTTGGAGAAATTTATCAATCCCGGACTATTCCGATCCTAAATTTTGGTCGATCTGCTGAATTTTGGTTGCTCCACTAATCTATCCGAAAAATTACCAACTGGGCCATGTTTTTGACAAACTGTTACAGCTTTTAATTTCTGTAACACCTGATAAAACTTAGCCGAATAATTTTCGGCCGATTCGGCTTTGTGATTTCGGATAATAAAAGCTATTTTAGTACCATACAGTCATAACGATAATGCTTTACAAATTATTAATAAAGATAATCAATTTTGGCAAATGGTGCATTTTTTGCGCGGAATGAAGCAATGGAGCATTATATATACAGTAATATATATAGATATATATATCCGGGTTGGTTAAAAGTCCCTAAACAGGTCCCCATTTTTTAATCACACTGATTATGATTTTGATGCTTAGTAATCGTTGTAATAAATTAAATTCGTATATATGTACATATAAAAAATAATAAAATTAAATATTAGCGAGATGGTAAAAGAGGGACCTGTTTAGGGACTTTTAACGAACCCAGTATATACAGAATATAACTTTTTTTTTGTTTTAAATAATTTGTGATTATTTAATACATGATTAATTAGATTTAATGACCGAATATATATTTATAAAAAAAATATATAGTAAAGATTTAATATTAAAATTTTCCAATGGAGCAATGGAGCAATGGACTGGAGCAGGTGAAATTTCCCAATGGAGCATGAAATTGCCAACCCTGAAGATAATGTCAACATTATTAAAATTTCGTTCGAATGCTTATTCAATATGTTTGGTGTTTAGTTTGTAAGAAATTTATCAAAAGACTGCTCTGCTCTTGTCAGCTAATAAATCTTAGCAAGAAATATGTATAAAAACAACAGGATATAAATCAAATTCCTTTAATAATTATATTAAACTATTTGCATTAATATTGAATAAAAAAGATACTGTACATATATTACTTTTTTCTTTGTGTATCAAAGTTGATTTATAGACTAAATTGTCATAAGACTAATTTTACGCTTAACCAAAGTTCCATCTCGGATTGCAAATACTAGAGGTGTAGACATATTTACGTAATAAGGTAGTAACTAGGTCGTACCGTAAACAAGCATAGCGGTCTTTAAATCCGATTGGTCAATCACTGAAATGTATTAACATATATACACTGCATATATCATCTGACTTTAAACGAATTGTTTGCCATGAAAACGAATTGTTCAGGAGAATCGAATACATATTCAAAAACTACACCTTTCGTTCTATATATAGTCAAAATAATCACGAAAACGGAGGAGTAATCATGAGGGTTAGCTATAGAGCGTCTTTTTTTAACTTAGTTGTCATTTATAATATATAAGAATCTTTAAAACAAAAAAAGTATTAGCACTTTTTTTTTTTTGTAGTTAGATCTCTAATAAGTGAGTCTGTTCTGAAGATTGATAATGCGTTTAGATTATAATTATTAGACGAAACGTAAGGTTTATATTAACGAAAGTCGAAACTGGTTTTAACTTTTGTCAACTAAAATTTTAATAAGTAAAACTAAAAAACTGTCAAAGGTGTCAAAGCTGTTGAAAGATAGGTTTGAGTTTCGCATGCCTTTTCACCTATTGTAGTTAATAATTTATTTTAATTCATTTGAATTACTTTAATTATTATTTTTTTATTGTCAGTAAGCGATTTTGTTTTAATATAAAGTTTTTTACATTTAGTAAATCGTCTTTTTTTTTTTTTTTTTTTAAATCTAATCTGATTATATGTTTAACAATGACTATCAGATCCAAGTAATACATTATTGTAATTATTAGAATTTAAATAAATGTATTCTTCATTCCCTTTATTCAATTAATAACTTGCGAAATCGTTTTTTTAGTATAAGTCTATTAGCCAATCAGATCTTCTAAAATCACGGAATGATCTACAAAAATTAGCCAGTCGAAATGAAAGCCCGCTATGCTCCGTAAACAGCAGTTAAATCTCGAGGTAGGACCGTCCCGAGTGCCCCGATCTGTAGATCGTTACACAATTAATTAAAGATTTTTTTTTATACGTTTTACAATACTTTTTTCGGAAGCTCGGGTAGATTATCTCATCTTTTAACCAGCCTAAATGTTCTAAGTAAACTTGAAGCTTTCGTAGCGTACTATAATAATATCAGTT